TTCATCCACTTGAAATTTCTGCAATTTCAAGTGAGGTTCCATATTTCAAATTATGTACTAATTTCATCCCCTATTAATATCAAGTCTATGAAACACATCAAAATTGCTTGTTAGATTTTTTATTTTAAACTACAAAAATTCCTTCAGAATAAAATTTCATCCTCACTTGAAATTTCTGCAATTTCAAGTGAGGTTCCATATTTCAAATTATGTACTAATTTCATCCCCTATTAATATCAAGTCTATGAAACACATCAAAATAACTTCTTAGATTTTCTATTTTAAACTACAAAAATTTCTTCAGAATTAAATTTCATCCTCATTTGAAATTACAGAAATTGTTTTCAGAAATTCCTTATTTTAAATTACTAATTTCATCCCTTATTAATACTAAGTCTATGAAACACATCAAAATAACTTATTACATTTTCTATTTTAAACTACAAAAATTACAGATACATTTATAGAAATATAAACTTTTACCAAAATAAAGAATTGTATAAATGACTCCATGTTTCATCCCCTATATTCATCCTCGTACTTTAATTTTAATGAAACAGCACATCTACCATACCCATTAATTTCCATATTAATTTCTTATCCTCCGACACAAATGATTAGTTAAGAAACAGCGAGAAATGCAATCCACTTGTTATCGATTACCGATACAATCATTTCAGTGTTTCGAGGAAATGAAAATAGGACGTTCGATTTCTCGGAAAAAGCTACAAATAAACGAGGACTAATCATCGGGTTTGCATATCATACCATAAATGTGTTCTTTCTTCGGATTTACCACGAAGTGTAAACGTTCCTCCGGAAGCCGGAAGTGTAATTTTGGCAATTCCTCGAGGACGCTTTTGGATCGTGAGAAACGTTCAGCGTGCTTTTCGACACACGTTCGTTCTATTATCGTTACACTCGCCTTGAATTTACGCGGGAAATATCTCGGAATTCTGGGAAATTTCGAGCTGGACTTTTTTGTTAAAATTTGAGAAGATGAAATTTTTAGAAATCTGTGACGTAAATTTTGTAATAATCTCAATTATTGATATCAAGGATTTCTTAATTATTGGTGCATTAGTAATTAAGTATTGACAGCTGTAATTGCATTGACAATTTGCTTTATTAATTCTGGTTTTTATTATTTAATTCTTGAGTGGTCATAGCTCTGATAATGATAAGATAAAATATTAAAATTACTAAAAATTTTTCGATACAATTTTACGACTCACTTGTTGAATTTTTATATTACTTCAATCTGTAATTGTCTTTGTCTCTAAGCTCCATGAATCAAATTATTAAAAATATTGTATATCGATTTTTCAACCTAAATGAAACTTACTATGTTTATACCCTTTCCACAATCTGTATTCTTCATCAAAATAAAAGTTAAAGAAACTACAAAAACCCTCAACCTTTCTACCATGTCATTTTGTAGCAAATGACAATAACAAATGTCTAAAAAATTTGTCCGAAACTCAGTCCACATTGCAGCACACTTATTCATCCTAATATCCTCAAACAAACTTGTATCTCATAAATGGTTATATTGAATGATTATGTGAATTTTGAGAAATACAAGAAGCGCAACAGATCGAGAAAATTATCAAACACGCAGTTTCTGGCTGTTTTTCAAAACACTAGAGCCGGAAATGCACATTGGTTTATTTTACGATAATGGTTGTTAAACGTTCGTTCAGACATCTGTTGATGATAGAACATCTGGCGCCCCGAACGCAAGATCTTCGCAAGTGAAAATTGCTGCATCTATAACAACAAGCATCAAACTTTCGAAAGAGTGTTTCTATTTCCGTGTACAGGTCTTCTAACATGGAGACACGCGAGCGAGAAAATGTTGGTAATATTTCACGACTCGACTAATCAGTGAATTGAAGGTGGAGCAGTGATCGTTAGAGATGGATTCGCAATCGATCGTTTGATCCATGGCTCCGATTTCGACAAAGGAGTGCCTTTGATTACACGTTTCGTGGAAGGAACGCCTTGGAACCATTTTAATCGAGGCCACGGCCGCAAAATGGTGGACACACTTCTACACGCAACCTTGGAGACCGCTTGTGTTCTTGATTGAGAAAATCTTAATCGTTGGATAAATTTTTATGGATTTGTTTTTTGGGGAATTGAACTTTAGATATTTTGGAAATTTTGTGAAGAAGTAATTAAGATAGACAATGAATTTCTAATTCATTACTGTAGTCATTTAAGTCTCCACGTTTACAATTTGTTAAATGATACTAATTTGTAAGTTCTGAATTTTTGAAAGCCTTAAATCCTTACATTTTTAGATCTCTGGACCTCTAAATCTCTAGAGCAGATTCCTAGATCTGCTCTAGAATTAAATCTCTTAATTGCAAATTTCTAAATTATCAAATCTCAAAATCCCAACATTCCTGAATTCTTAAATATCTACGTTCATAGATCTATACATGCCTAGATGCCAAATTTACTAAATTCCTAGATGCCTAATTGGTAAAGCCCCAGATTCTCAAGCTTTGAAAATTTCAAATTCTGAAATCCTTAAAGTCTCAGAATTCCTGCATTCTTAGGTTCCTAAATCCCTAGATCATCAGATCCCCAAATTATCAAATGCAAAAATCCCTAAATCCCCAAATCTTCAAGTCCCCAAATTGTCAAATGCAAAAATCCCTAAATCCCCAAATCTCCAAATCCCCAAATTGTCAAATTGAAAAATACCTTGATCCCCAAATCTCGAAATCCCCAAATTGTCAAATCCAAAAATCCCTAGATACCCAAATTTCCAAGTCCCCAAATTGTCAAATCCAAAAATCCCTAGATCCCCAAATCTCCAAATCCCCACCTTATCAAATCCAAAAATTCCTAGATCCCCAAATCTCCAAATCCCCACCTTGTCAAATCCAAAAGTTCCTAGATCCCCAAATCTCCAAATCCCCACCTTGTCAAATCCAAAAATTCCTAGATCCCTAAATCTCTAAATTCCCACCTTGTCAAATCCAAAAATTCCTAGATCCCCAAATCTTCAAATCCCCACCTTGTCAAATCCAAAAATCCCTAGATCCCCAAATCCATATCCCAAAATTCCCAATTTCCCACATCTCTAACTCCCTACCTCAACCCCCCAAAATTTCAAATCCCAAACTCCCAACTCTGAAACGAACAAATCGAGAATTCATCATTTTGCCACAATTCCTTACAATTTATTGCGACCACGTTCGCAAATAAACTTCGTCGGCTTCACCTAGACTTCCTCGTCATTAGGAAAGCTTTATCACGACAAAATCAGCGACAATAAACCTTGACGAGGTAACTTCGAACTTATCTTATTTAATGAATCGTCAAACTGTCAGCCAAATAATTTATCATTCGAATGACGCGAATTCGAGTGACGGTCGAAGTGACTGAATGAAGCCACGAGAAAATTGGGAAAGATCGTAGCTTATCGATGATATTGCGTTGTTAACCATTTCCTACGTAGACTCGGTTTATTTCTGTGCTACGGAAACGAGACTACGGACGTGGAAAGGTTACGAGGTCATTTGCATCGCTGGTATTATTGACAAGGACCATTTATGTATATAGAGACAGACAGTTCCTTTTTTTTCATCGTTAATGAATAGGGAAGAGTTTCATTGACTGACGGAAAATCGATGACCGCTTTTTAAAATTATTGGGATATAATGTGTGTATTAGAGACTCTCCTTATATTGCCATTTTCGTGTCAAGTCTTATGTACGCCTGTGGTGCTCTTTATTGTTGTAGAATTACGTTGACTCATGTTATATTACATTTATGGTACTTTGACAAACGTTATATTATTTGTTATATTGCCACATGTTATATCACCTACAAGTCGCATTGCAATGTTTTGTATTGTCTATGTGTTATATTACCACGCTTTGTATTGCCAAAATATTGTATTGCAACGTATTGTACCATCTGCGGGTTATATTGCCATGTGTTGTATTACCTACACGTTATATTGCCACGTGTTGTATTACCTTCACAGTGTATTGTCATATTGTATTATCAACATGTAATATTGCCATACGCTGTATTACCTACATATTGCTTTACCAACGTATTGTATTACCTACACGTTATATTGCCACGCTCTATATTACCACACCCTCTATCTATAAACTCTGAATCACAACTTATATCATCGTATTCTGTACCACGCGTTATATAACCACGAGTTACACCCACCCCTACAGGATCACAAGTAATATAATAAGAGTCTACAAACAGAATCATAAAACAAATTTAAAATAACAAACAATACAATTGAATTAACAATTGTAAAATAATTATTTAATTATTAATAGATTAGACTACATAATATTATTTCAAGTATAATCACGTTTGAAAACGTCAATACTCGCGTACTACGAGTTACTACGCGAGTACTATTACCATTGAAGAACTTTTCTTTATCAATGGAACGCGGTTACCGAATGGAACATTCATGTAGCGAATGTCGGTATTGAAGGAATCTATATTCGTGACAAAAAAGTGTTTCCATAGAAGATAGTACACACTGCATCAGTCGATAAAAAGATTCAGGCGGTAAATTTTATACTGTTAACGAAGTTACATGAATCTCCGATTTAAACATGAGATCAGAAAACGTAATTATATCGATGGTTTCCTTTAACAGTTAGTCAGGATTTAGATCATAAAATAGCAGGTCAATTTGTCCTTCGCGGACAAAACTGCGCGTAATAGTCGAGAGCAAGTAAAAATAGCACTGTTTGTATTTGAATAGTCAAGAATAACATTATGACGCACGTAAACGATGTTGATTTCGTATAAAATTGCATCTGTGGTGTATCATAAATGGAATTTTGTGTACTTTCATGAAACTCGATATTTTGGCAAAAATACGTACAAAATATTTACAAAATATAAACAAATAACATGTTGCAATATGACAGTCTATATTAAGGTTTTATCACTGAGGTCATAACATAGAAATAAATGCAAATATTTTTAAATCGTACCTTTCTTTCTGCTGCATCTGTTTCAGCATTATATCCGCTAATGGATCAGCAGGTGGTCTCTCACCGAGAAGTCTTTGCCGATCCAAGTCACCCTGCATCTGTGCAAATGCATGTTCGCCAATGTTTACGGATGTCTCCAACTGTGCTGACAGTTCTACACTTTCATCACCTATAACATACGTTTCGATTATGCATTTTCATATTAATCAACCAATACATCTATGCTAATACATCGTTTCGTTTAGTTACCATGTAAAGCATGTTGTGGATTGTCAATGATTCTGATCTGTCGATCAGGAAGTAAAGGTTCTCCATCCATACCACCTATGTCGTTCGGTAATTGCCAACAAGCATTGTCCTGTTCTGCTAAGTTTCTTGGAAAATACAGTGGAAGAAGAACTTCATAGATTCCAAGATCACTTGGTTCCAGAACAAATACAATGCATGTTATTGAATCACCATATTGCTCTAAGAATCTTCTTATTGTTCCTATTAAACCAAACAGTGAGAAATTAATGTTTAATTCATAAGAAAGATTCCTAAATCCCAGTATTAAATAACAAGTACTTACTAAGAGCTATATGCGCTCCAGCATCAGGAGGATAATTTCTTCGTACTGAATTAATTACGGGTAACGCAATCGTACGTAATCCGAGCTCTCTTGCCTTTTGCAAAACATTTCTACCAAACAGGTCGCGTGTTATTTTCCATGTGTCGATTTATTATCTCTTACATAATTCAAATACCAGTAATATATTTACCTATAGCAGCAGTGTAATGTATTCTGAGCCGCTGTTTGGTACTTCACGTTATAAACAGGCCCAACAGTATGGATAATAAAACGTGCAGGCAATCCATGACCTTGTGTTACTCTTATTTCACCAGTCTTACATTCTGAAAATGCAAATATGGTTAATTACATGTACTACACGTAAATGAAGCAACAAAAAAGCAATACCTTTAACTTCATTAAATATTTCCATCTTAAGGGGTGAACCAGCACGAGCAAATATTCTTTGGCACATAGGGCTATTATCATCCATTGTTTCATTGGTGGAATTTACCACTGCATCCACTTGTAGAACGGAAACATCTCCAGTCCTGGAATGGAATTAATTAAAGCATCTTATAGGAATGAAATTACATCTCTTTCTAATTCAAACTTACCATAGCGCAAGTTTATTGTTAATCGCTGGCTGACATGGAAAAGGACTTATAGTATGATGCGTGGGCTCTCCAATAGAATTGGAGTAGTCTGTGAATCGATGATGGACAGGGAATTCGGACCATTTTTTCAATGCGCCCGTCTCCACCACGTCTGGGGCAACACCCAAGGGTTCCATGAGCCTCATTCAGCTGAAACAAAAATTTACCATTATAATCAATGTGTAGAAGACTTTATTTCAATCATTCTACTATATGAAACAACTCCTCTGCAATGAAGAGGAAACATGCAAAGCCCCTAACCTCACTGTTCTGTCAACTGGTACTTAAAGAAATTTTGTGCAGGTGTTCTATATTTTTCTTAATGCATCTACAAAATATAGATCCCCTTTTATTAATATCTCTCCACATCCTTCGTTTTCGAACACAGAATCGACTTTGTTATACTTTGCTACGTTCGCACGCGAAATGTCACGTTGACAGCTATCGTGCAGGCGCGACCTTCACGTGGCGCGAAATTCAAATTACTTCAAACGCCACGTGCTCCAACTCCACACGAATACGTGCAGAGGTCACGGATATCGTTCATTTGAGAAATATGACGAATCCAGTGACACGTAGGAGCGGTGAATGACGCGTACGCGAGAAAAATGAATGAACAGAGACTTCATTGAGCGCATACGACGAAGAAAGGTAAAAAGGACAAAGTCGCTCCAAGACGGAGATGAGATAGTTGCTGACGCACGGACCATCTTCCAATATCACAGAAACCTAAAAATAAACAGTGCACTCGATAAAAATCTGGGACACACCCCTGGGCTAACGGGGGCAGTAAGCAACCAAGGACGTAACCCCGATCGGAAGTTTCGAAAAACAACTTAATTCGTGGACGACCGGGTTCTGCGCGCATGTAGTCACGTGCTGTTCAGGTTCCTCTCTGTTCGATCAACGCGCAAGGAATCCGTGGGTGGTTCGTGTAGGACACAGAAATGTAGGCTTCCCTAATGGCAAGGAGACAGAGGTTGGCGCCGTCTGTCCGGCCGCGCAACTTATATCCTGGCAGCCCCATAAAGAACAAGATCATCGACCTCCTTGTGCCAGTAGCTCTCTGCAATCCTTACCAAAGACTTCCTATTCAACCACCTGAGCTACGAAGTGAAAACCGAGAATTACGTTCATCGATTTATAGCATAAGACTGGAAAAATAAAGGAAGACTTGAGCTCAACGGAATTTCAGAATTTTAGAGGATTAAAAGGAAGAATGGGTTTAATCCGGCCTGCTCGATGGTAATTTTGATGATCGGTTCAAATTGTTAGGCTTTCATTTATCAGGTGGAGAGGTTTGTCAGCGACCTCTTGGTGCAATCGAGGACTTTTGGGACTTTTGAAAATTGGGGTTAAAATTTTCTGTTCATACAAATTTTTCAATTTCGAAACTTTGCTGAGGAGCGTTGGAGTGCTTTGAGTGCTGGAGAGATACGGAAAATTCGAAGGCAACAAACGAGGAAAATTTGTATTCAGAATACGAATCGCGAAGAGCCGTTTTACATCGATATTATTCTTTCTCTGTTTCGAAGCGTCTTGCGAAAGAAACTCGAGATATTATTTGCATAAGTCCGTTTGTCAAGCGACGTTACATCACCTATCGCTTAAAATAGGATACACTCGAAAGGATAAGTTTGACCATTCGAGAAAATTAGAATGGAACAGTTATGCGTTGTTTAAACAGAGCTGTTATCAACGATGAGCAACGGAAAATTGCACAATGGAACGAATTAGCATTTTTACGACTCCGTTCGGGCTATAAACCTTGGCGAATGTGGAACAGAATGCTGATCGATCGTCTAAATGAATTCTGATGTTTACCCTGCAAAGTTCTTGGTATGAGCGCGCCCGTTAAGAACACATCCGGCCTAATCGATTTTAAAGGGAAACGTTGTCTCGATGATCGAACTGTAAAGCTTCAAGGGTCATGGCCACTTATTTAAGACATTTCTGCATCGTAGATCATTGCTTAATATTTTACAAGATCTTTTAACGAGCATAAAATATGAGGTTTTCACGTATATTTCTCATTAACTAAAGATTCAATTGCAGATACATTAATTAACCGAAGAAATGCTTTCTGTCTGATAAAAAATGTGCTACAGCTTTTTTGAGCGGACACGAGAGTTTCGGTGTCCCAGTTCTACCAAAGTTTTAAATTGAATTCAGCTTCGTTAAAGAGAGCAAAAGGTCAGTCAAGTTTGTTAAAACGTCGTTCAGCGTGCACATCTTCCAGGATTATCGAACCATTAAATCGGGTGTAACGCAAAAATGTTCATTTTATAATTAATGATTTAATTGCAATTTGATATAACTCTTTACGTTGGGTTGCGAATATAATACCACTATTATGATTTGTGAAATATTAATAATTATTACAGTTAAACATACACAAATTGCATACTTTGCTACGATTAATATTATCGAAAATCTACCTCAAATAAAATCTTCGAATTTCAAAATAAAATAACAATAAAATGTTACAATGTACAATTTTTATTTAAATAAGTTTGATAATAATGAAAATATGTTTTCTATATCAATGTTAAAATTACAAAATATACTTCTTGACAAAAATTGACAAAATCAAGTTAAAAAAAGGGTTAAATAAACATTTTTGTATATTCAAAAATGTGTTCACGAATAAAAAATTGCAACTCGAAAATTTTTTGTCAATTTTGAAAAAGTAAGAGACGAAGAAGGAGAAGAAAATCTTTGAGGGATCCTAACTGTAGGGAAGAAGCTAATCAGTCACGAAAGGGTTAATGTTTCGATCTATTCGAAGCACAAAGGTAAAAGCAGCAGAGTTAATCGACCGTGTACAGGGCCCTCCAGTTTTAACACGTTCGTCCTTGAAGCTGCATTCGAAATTGACCCTCAGCCTCGAACTTTGAAGCCCTTTGACCTATGTTACTCCTTTGGCTAATACATTCTTGTAAACTTATGAGCTATCTATGGGAGTACAGTAGACTCTCGTTATATTGCCGTGGTAGGGATTGTGGCCGGGGATGAGGTGGAAATTGGGGAGTTTGGGGAATTGGGATTTGTGGAGGGCGGAAATTGGGGAATATGGGGACTTTGGATTTGTGGAGAGTGGAAATTGAGGAATTGGAGATTTGGAATGTTGGAGATTTGAGAATTTGGGGATTTGAGAATTTGGGGATTTGAGAGTTTGGGGATTTGAGAATTTGGGGATTTGAAAATTTGGGGATTTGAGAATTTAGGGATTTGAGAATTTGGGAACTTGAAAATTGGAGAAATTGGGAATTGGGAAAATTGGAAATTGGGAAAATTGAGAATTGGAAAAATTAGGAATTGGGAAAATTGGAATTTGGGAAAATTGAGAATTTGGAAAATTGGGAATTGGTAAAATTGGGAATTGGGAAAATTGGGAATTAGGGAAATTAGGAATTGGGGAAAGTAGAAATTAGAAAGAGTAGAAATTAAGAAATATGCCAATTGATAAATTTTGCAATGGGTGAAATTCTCAAACTTGAAACTTTGAAAATATAAAACAATGAAACTTGAAAAGTAAAATTGTCGAACAAAAAATCTGTCGAATTTAAAAAAACAAGAGATTAAAGGATTTAAGAGAACGGATTACAGAATTTAAAAAGTTGTATCATTTGTTTTCTTAGTAAACTACTTTTTTTTTCTACGATTTGTCGCAGTATCGGAAAATCACGAGTGAACCGAGAGTCGCCTCGCGTTAGCCTGTCAGAAAAAGTTCTCGTTTCAAGGGAACCGAGAACTTTTCTTCATGATTCTGCTTCTCTACCCTCGGGAATCTATTTCTGCGGATTTCGTCTATCTCGAACGAAAGATAAAGCTATCTCTCTGTGACCTATATCAAACTATTATCGACGGAGGCTCTTTCTCGCGTGTAATGTTGGAGTGAATGAAATGAAGATCTTTCGCTGATGCAAAGTCTCAAATTTATAAGGTCAAGTATCCAAATCTTGAAGTCTCCAAAATTCTTAAAAGGCTCAAGTTTGATAATTTTTAAATCTTGAATTCTTAATTTTCCGAATTTTTGATGTAATTAATTGATAATTTCCCAAATTCGCAATTTTTGCAATTTCCAAATTTCCCAAATTTTCAATTTCCCAATTTCCAATTTTCCCAATTTCCACTTTTCCAAATTCCTAATTTCCCCAATTCCCAATTTCCCCAATTTCTAATTTTTCCAATTCTCAATTTCCTTAATTCCAAATTTCCTCAATTCCTAATTTCCCAATTCTCAATTTCTCCAATTCCAAATTTCCTCAGTTCCTAATTTCTCCAATTCCAAATTTCCTCAGTTCCTAATTCCCCAATTTCTAATTTCCGACTACCTAATTCCCCAATTCCAAATTTCCCAAATTTCCCAAACTCCCAAAATTCAAAAATCCCCAAAATCTCCCCCCATATCTTAAATATCCCACCAACATCAGTAAGAGCACCTAAAAAACTTGCCAAGATGACGTCTCTCGATAAAGTTACAAAAGAAACACTTTTCGTTTATCACGATTGTCATCGACAAGGTACGGGCTCGAATTATAAATAGCGAAGGACTCTAACGGCGTTAAAGCAATCATGGTGCACGTTTGAACGCGACACTATGAAATGGTGACCCGCCGGTGACCCACCAAAGGGGTAATTGAATGTGTTAAGCGCGGCAGACGAATGCACCGAGGAAGCCTTTTCGATATGCGCCGTTCTGTAACGCGGGGCTTCCAAACAAATCCTTTGTGACCGGCTATTCCCGTCGATCAAGCGAAAACAGCCAGCTCGAAACAGGAAAAAAAGTGATCCAAAGGAAAGAGAATCTCTGGATTTCGCTCCACTTGACCCGTTAATTGTGTTAGAGACTTGAAACAATATTTCTGGGAAATCGAACCGGGATGAGCGGAACATTTATCCACCGATGAACAGCGAGTTTATTTTCGAGCAATTATTTATTTCGGGTTTGAAGAGAATGCATTTCAATATTTTGCATTTACCAGATTTTCAGAGAGATTTTTAATTGGACATGGAAGTTGTAATTTTTGGGTGGATTTTTAATTACGAAATTTATGAAGCAAGAATTTAAAGGAGAAAATATTTAAAAGAATTGTAATTGGTTTTTCGGTCTCGGAACGTGTAATATTTAAATCTACCGTGACGAA